CCCCAAAACCCCAAAACCCCAAAACCCCAAAACCCCATGAATTGAAATTTTATTTTTCTGACTAGTATAAGTTTTTATTTTAATTATTATTTAATTGGAATGAAATTGCTTGTTTATGACTATAAGATGTATGTTGTTTATATTAGGGTTTAATCATACTATATTACCCTTCTCTCAAATATTACAATGAGCCTGCTTTTTCTTTCACTCAATGTTAAGTTAATACTTGATGTAAGAAGGGTCAGATGTGATTGAACTAACATCAAATGCTTAAAAGTCATAGTCTCCATTTGCTTTCGCTTCCATAAATCCTCCATAAGTTAAATTATCGATTCTGTCGTCGTTTTAAGACTTCAATAGGTGATAGTGAATGAGATGATCTACACTTTAACCTGATCCTTGATTAATTGCAGCTATCGCATCTTCGATTCCTTGCTAAATAGTATCATTCATTTGCTTCTCATCCAGATTCTATAGGGTTATAAATATGAATGTAAAGTACCAATGGGTATGAAGAAGAAGGGAGTGCCTTTGAAGGAGAGATAGCATATCTAAAATTAGCTTTAGGGTAGGAAAACTTTGCTCTTAGTAAGCCGTCCATTGATGAATAAAATGAAGAAATCTCAAGGTATCTGAAGAGCATCCCCATTGTGTGGTACTCAGTAGCATTAACCTCTTTAAGATTGGCTGAACTAGTCATTATCAAGTCTACGACTATATTCTCCTCAATGAATCCTTTATCGAAGCATTTATTAACTGCGGTAAATATGTCAATATCATAGACGGCAGATCCATCGAACCATTTTGAGCCCAAAACATCAGCAGGTGGGAAGTAACCTGGAGAAGCAAATGATGCAAACAAAATATCTCGCAAGTCTTAAGTCTTAGTAAAGTCTTTATTCTAGAAACTCTTATATTATCCTTCAATTGAGTCAACTAGCCCAATGGAGAGATCTCTCTCGAAAGTTTGGGGATCGTTGAACTATGTTTATAAAAATTATGTCAACGGCGAGTTATCATATATACCTCCTGCAGTGAATAATCCTGCAATTACACCGCCCCACCAGTTTTGATATAATTTGGCTTTAACTCCATCAGTCCAAAATTTAATCATTTTATCGATTGCTTCATTAATTTGAGTATTTGAATGTCCACTTAAGATGGCTGCATTCACGGCACCCCCTGCTATTCCGGAGACTGCCTAATAACTTAGCTCTTCTGTTGTCAGCTTACTTGCGAGGCCTTTGAGAACTCCAGCCTGATACGCAGCTTATTCTTGGCCGCTTGACATTGCTAGAATATAGCACTTATTTGTAGCTAGAGCGAGATTAGCCACTAATGCTGAAGTTAGAACAACTGAAGAAAAAACGTGCTTTGAAAGTCTAGTCATTTATCGATATAAAATATTATAAAATCCTTAAATGATTTACGTTTACTTTATTATATTAATTTTTTCCTTTGTGTCCTTGTAAGATTTGCTCAGACGGGGTTTTGGGGTTTTGGGG